AAAAAAATTTTTTTTTTTGAGGGGGGGCAATTGCCCCCCGTAGGCTCTTCATAGTTCCGCCCCTGGCACACAGATATATAATATTTTACTTTAATTTTTTAGAAGATTTAAAATAATATTTTATAAATAAAAACAAAAATATAGCTATCGGATATATAAATATATTTTGTTACACAGGCATGCAATTACCCCCCAAGCATAAGTCATATTGTCTCGAGCTCAACTTGTTAATTAGCTTGTGAACCAAACTCGATGAGCTAATGAACTAAACTTAATCCAGCCTCGAGACTTATTTGCTCACAAACTTACTCGTTTAAAAGATATTAATAAAAAATATATTTAAAATATATTAAAATTCAAAATTTTAAGCATAAATTATTAAAAATGTTTAAAAATTATATCTGAATTTCTTATATTAAGTGATTATTTATTTATTTGTATTTCTTATTTTATCATTTTATTATAATAATTATTTAAATCATAATCATTTTTTTTTCATAATAAACAAATTGGCTTGAACTCCTTGAATAAAACTCGATCTCGAGCTCATTCAAACTCAATTTAGAGGTGACTCGAACTCAGCTCAACTCGTTTACACCCCTACTGATCTATACCCAACACCTTAGCATCAGTCTTGCTTACATGCTATAAAGATACCCCAAAAAAACAATGATGTGCAATTTATATCAATAACTGCACTACAAAATGAGCTTTGAAAATAGTCCAAAGATTTCAAAATCTCAGAAAAATGATCTCAGTTGCACAAGTCTTCTATAAAGCCATTAAATAAACACAACATAATAGCATCAGCTATGAACCTTTAAATAGCACATATCAGCACAAAAATAAAAATAAAAAAAGTTGATCATAATTTAGACTCACTAAGAATCATACAGAATGAAGCCTATAGCTTTAAAAGCCAACAAAAACCATTGTATTGGATATCACAAATGCATGGCATCTTCTTCATCAACCCCTCCAGGAACTTCACTGAACATGTACTGGCTCTGGAACTCCATCAGATATTGTGTTGATCTCTTCACGTCCAGAAATAAGGAATAGACTCGACTGATATCCTCCATTTCCACCACCTTTCCCCTTCTCTTCTGGCAAGCCAGAGCTGCAACTGTGATCAAGTGGATTGCATATCTCAGAGAGGTCTCTGTGCCAATCTTTGTCAACAACACCTTTGAATCCTTGGACATTTCCACTTCTTCCTCATCGCATCTAATTTCGATAATTTTATGGATCTCCTCTTCGGTGTACGGTTGGGTGGATATGATGAGGAGGCGATCGAGAAAATCGGCAGGGATGCCGTGGGGGGAACGATAATTTGTGCCGCGGATGGTTGTGATGCCCCGGTTCGTCGCAATGACGAGAATAGGAGCCATTTCGTTCTCCAGCGCACGGTTGAGGAAGGAGAAGCATTCAATGTCAAGCATATGGACCTCATCAATGAAGAGAACACCGGGTACTATGTCAGCTTTTCCTTCTTCCCTCCATTCTGCTACTTTTGTATCAATTTGCTCTCTTACCTCAGCTCGAATTTCACCAGTGTCTCCTGTGAAGAGTGCTAGGAAACCCTGTGTCCTAGAGGTTTAGTAGTAAAATTTAGATTTGATTAAACACTTTGAAATTGAGACTAGAACATATGCAAAATAATACTATGTGCCGGAAGGATCTAAAAACTTCATTTCATGGTCAGCCAGTGGCATGGAAGTTAGAAAGTCTGAGCAAGTGTTGGTGATGCATTCAAGCAAAAAAAAAAAAGTTAAGGAGAAGAAACAGTTGGTCTCTACAGAGATAATACAACTCAATCTTCGACTCAAATGAAAAAAAAAAAAAACAAGGTTGACAAGAAGGTTCGTTTGTGACAGCTTTTTTCCAGCTTCTTAAAACAGATTTTTAATAAGAAATTTAAATTTTTATACTAGAAAATTACTTTAAGAAGCAATAAGAAAGTCATTCAAAACGAAGCCAAAATAATAATCTATACAAAATTGTCGCACTAATTAGAGTGGAAAACATAAAAAAATCCAAATTTTATATTCATCACATCAAATGCAAGTCACAGCAATTAGTGCATCAGTTGAGCAGAAAACACTTAAGTGGCATGCACAGATTCACAACTAAAAATAAAAATAATAATACTAAATTGAAAATTAAAATTAAAAAAAATTAAAATTAAAAAAAATTAAAAATAAAAAACGTTTTGCAAACCAGCAATCAAAATAGGATAATATGTAACAAAAAAAGATAAAATAAAAGAATAGAATGTTGGGCTATAAGTAACACAATGATGTTCTGACATACTCTCTATAAGTAAGGACATAATATTAATAAATAAGCACAACCGAGAGCTAGTTTGCTACCAACTGTCCCGGACCAATTAAGTTATCCAGCTAGCTCAAGCCAGATTTAAAAGCTGTTTCTAAATGATCAATTTAGTACAGCTAGAAGTGATCGAAAAGAAACAATTATTTATATGAACTTAATGGTGGATCTTTGTAGATGAATAATCCATCTCACTTGGATCTTTTTCTCTTTCTTCTTCTATCAAATTGCCTTGGTTAGAAAATATTAGAAATGATACGTCTTTATTAGAATTAAATGAGAATTTGACTCTTAGCAGGACATAATGGAGAAAAATGATTCATGTAGCCAACCCCACAGTGGGATAAAGGCTTGATATTGTTGTTGTTGGCGTGTTTTTGTTTTTTGTTTTTGTTGGCGTGCTGTTGTTGTTGTTGTTGTTGGCGTCTTCTATCAACAACAACAACAACATCAAGCCTTTGTCCCACTACATGGGGTCGGCTACATGAATCTTTTTTCGCCATTACGTCTGGTTAAAAGTTAAATTCTCATTTAAATCTAATAAAGAAATATCATTTCTAATATTTTCTAACCAAATCTTTTTAGGTCTATCTCTACCTTTATTAACATAAATCGAATCTAATACCTCAACTTTCCTAACTGGGTCATCGGAAGGCCTCCGTTTAATGTGACCAAAAATTATTTTAGAAATTCTCATCAGCTGGAAGATAGAAATTCTCATCTATTTCCCTCTTTTCTTGGGGAATTTGTAGGAGGAATGGGATTGACGATAGTAAGGCATGGATAATATGCTATGCTTAACAAGTTTCTTCTATTACGTTGATCGGAGAGAAAGGTGAGAATTCTAAAATTTGTAAGTGATAAACTCCACCCAAAATGAGAGAGACGAGAAAATATAGAAGGAATCTTTCAAATTTCATTCACAACCAATATTAGCATTAACACCTTAATCAACCTTCTTCATAGAAAAAGGTTATAAAAAAATCAAATTAATTTAAAAAAAACAATAATATTAACAATTAAGTGCAATAACACTGAAATAAAATCTAAAAAATGCCTAAAATATTAGAATAATTTTTTGAATTGCATCAAGGAGCAACTGATGTTTTGACACACTAAATTTGCATGTAAGACATGCAGTATTTTATAGAAACTATTCAGTATTGCTTAAAATATTTTATAATAACCTGGACGCCAGAAATCACAAAGGCGCTACATTGATTTGGTCACCAGGAGTTCAAAATGGTATAGTTCTAAGAAAATAATGAAAAAATGAATAGTATTGAAAATACAGCTTAGGGGAACTAAGAGAGAGAGAGAGAGAGAGAGAGATTAGTTCTTGCTATATGGTTTCAGTTTTATTGTTTTACTCTAGCTTCTAATTTAAATAACTTCGATTTTTTTTTTTCATTGTTCTTTTTCTATGTTATGCAAATGCTTTAGTGTCTGATGTTCTGGGACAGGTGCACATATATATAAAGCATTTGTTAATAAAGAACACTATAACTCATTTAGAATAACTGAATATATATATATATATAAAGCATTTGTTAATAAAGAACACTATAACTCATTTAGAATAACTGAATAAATCATAATTTAGTAAAATTCATCTTTAAGTCTCTATAAGATCCTTTTACTTAATGTCACATAATACTCTTAAAAGTGCTAAGCAAATTCTGATCATAAACATTGAACTCCAAAAATTGTGTCATCGTGTGTATCATAATCCAAAATATATTAATCAATTAGACAATCAATAATTTGCTCTTCCAATATTATTGAAATAATTATCAATTTCATATCTATAAAAAATAACATATTTTGGTTATGCTAATCAAAAGCCATTTCACTGAATACTTTTCTCAATTATGTCAACTTTTCAGTTATTTTATAAATGTCTTGTCAACTAAAATTATATTATATGCAAATAGAATACACTTATGAAACTAGCTTAATAAAAGTAATACATGATCTGATTTTACTTAACCAAAATTTTATGATCACATAAACTATTTTAGATATTAATCATTGCTGCATTATCGAGAGCTCTAAAAATCTCAACCAACTCATCCATATGATAAAGTGATAACTGATTTTATAGGAAGCATATTAAGCAATGGATAAGCCTTGTCATGCGATTTTTCCCTCATTAAGAACTTTATATTTCTGATTTAAGGCTTCCCATTAGACATACGCTCGAAACCCCCCAATTAAGCCCCACTCCCGACTATGAAAAAGAAGTCTCAATCAAAGATGTTAGGAAGCTTTACATTTATTAACACCACTCTTGTTGTGCTCACAAGTTCAACCTTAGCATGCACACTTGAGTTTTATTTGAGTTGTGCTCTTGGTTCAATCATTATGGTTCCACATAAACCTAATGATTTGGACATGGACCTCTCTAGCTCGACCCATATCTTTGTCCCCATACCCTTTTGTCTGTTAGATCTAACGCATAGACACTAGGCCAAGGTGAAACCCTCATGAATCCACTAGGTTGATTGTAGCACAATTAGATTCATGCATGTGAGTCACCCAATTTAGCCCAATTAATTTTAGCATAGATGTTGAACTGATCTACTGGCCAATCCCTCTCTTTTGACTCATTTCTTAGGTGCCACACATACCTAATAGATCAAAATTCACACCTTGTGAAGTTAAGTATAGTCTTCATACATTGTGCTTGACTTATGGATCAGCAAATCCTGCTTGCACTCAAGGCGATCACCACCTAACTCCAATAAGAATTCATGATTGTGAGGTGACACGACACATCTTACACATCCCAAACTGAGCACATTAATCATCATCTAAATCATCAAAAGGATCGCCCTCAATTGTATCTCGTAGGTCAAATCCTCTATTCAATAGTACATATCATGCCATAATCACTTGCCGATTTAATCATGTGTCGCACTGCAATTATGATTCAAGTTTGATTGTACATGTCGCATTGCGATTGCATTCTCCATTTGATTGCACAAACATTGAACATGGAGCACCTATAATAAGATAATCAACAGATATTTGGAAGTTAAAGATGGGAATGGAATGCAAATAATCGATGAATGGCCACCTATAATTATTAAGTAATTGTGTGGAAATTGGGGCATGGTTTGCAAGTCTAACCAGCTGCAATATGTAAATGTAGCTCATGTCAATAACAAAATAACCATCTTAAGCAGGTAAAGAAGGACAGATATTTTTTGTTAGATCATCAGACTATCAATTGTATCAACCTTATTGTTGAGGAAGGAAGGAATTCAATAAAAATAGTATTGATACGTTATGCAAAAATTATCTTGATCGGGCCCGAATCTCGAGGCAAAAAGCTAGCCGGAAACTTCAAAAATTAATTCCGGGAGCACCCGAACTCCAATTTCAGCGAGCTTATAGTCAAACTGAGCGTCTCTGAAATACGAACCCAACGACACCAAGATCAACCCAATCCAAGCGCAAATGAGTCCGAATCAAGGACCCGAAGCGCTGTTGGAAGGTTCAAAACGCAATTTGAGTTACCAAACGGTCTTCGATTTTAACGAGCTTATACTCGAATCGAGCGGCTCGACGAGACGAATCCAACGAGCCCAAGATCGCCAAATTCCGACATCATTAAGGCCTCCAAATGTCCAACGAACGGTGAACGATCGAAGGGTTCAATATCAGTCGTCCATTCAAACCACTCCCTATTCGCCCATGATCTCACATCTATTTACGAGCTATGCCACTCCAGAAAAACTATAAATAGAGCCCTCATTCTAAACAAAGGGGACTCAAGTGAAGAGAGAGAAGAAGAGTAGAAGAAAGAGGAGAAGGAAGAAGCTCCTCCTTGACCACCGCCGGAGCTCTTCCTTCCGCGGTTCCGCCCGAACACTCCGAGATTCTGCGTGATATTCGGAAGAACACAGGAATTCTTCTCAACTTCCATGTGATGCTGAAATTCTTCCCAATTTGCAACAGAGTTCCCTTCTGACGCTGAAACTCCGCCCAAGTGAAGCCGGAGTTCTCCTTTGCCACCAACAGACGTCGGACTTCTACCCGACGTCGAACCTTCACTCTTCGCCAAGTTTCTACCCGACGCCGGACTTCTACCGATTATCGGACTTCACTGGACGTCTACGCGAAGATGGATTTCTTTCCATTGTTGGACTTCTACCTGACGCTGTCCTTCTGATCTTCGTCGTCAGACTTTGGTGTCTCATAAATGCTAGACCCTTTCTCTTATCTGATTGCGTGCCGGATTTTCGTACAACGCTAAGACGCAAATTTACAAACTCTACCGCCGCGTATATTCTAGCACGCAACAAGTATAGTGTTTCCTTTGCTATTCTAACACTTCTTTCACCATGTTCTCTTACCTTTCAATATCTTTTATGGTATTTAATTTTCTTTTCTTTTTTGAAAGAAAATAAGCATCATACTTTTATGTCTATAGCTTAATGACAATAGAAAAACTTTGGAGTATTTTGTGTCTATAGCCAAAGAGACATGGCAGAACGGGTAAAAACCTGATTTTTTTTCTTGCTACTCCTTAATTAAATCAACTGTAATGAAATTTTTCTCGGGAAAAAAAAAGAGGCCGATAGGAAAGCAAGAGCCAAACCTGCTATTGATGACATCAATTTCATGAAGAGTGACGCAGTGCACGACCTCCTTCCTCTTCTGTAGCTCACCCTCAGGGCATCTGACAAACTTCGTATGCGGCCCAACTGCATCATAATCTCTTGATCGCCCAATTGACCGACCAAGCTTGGTCACTTTACCCGAAGCCTTATCCAGCGCAATCACATCCCCGCTCTGGACCTTCTCCTTGGTCAGTGCTTCGATCATCTTTCCTCCCAGCTCGTACAACGTCTCCATATCTGTCGTCTTCAGCGTAAGCTTCCCCGTCTTGCCACCCGCAGATGCCGAAGAGGACGAACCCGAAGCGGAAGCACCGACGCCAACGGGACGGTCAATGGTGATCTCAACAACCTCGCCCTCAATGATTTCGGCCTCCTCCTTGATGCGGACGCCGATAGCGCGACGAAAGGCCTGGGTAAGAGCCTCGGTCTTGGACATCTCGAGGGAAAAGAGCTCCGAACCAGAGAGGGTGGCGAAGGGGGTCTCCTCGCCGAGGGACTTGGCAAGGCCCATAGCAATGGCAGTCTTGCCCGTGCCAGGCTGGCCGGCAAGGAGGACGGCCCGGCCAGCGATCTTTCCCTCCTTGATAAGCTGTAGGATCAGCCCTGCCGCTTTGCGGGCGGGTTGTTGGCCAACCATGCCCTCGGAGACCGCGCGAGCCTCAAGTGACGAGTCGAGGCCAAGGCCTCGGATGTGGGAGTGCGCCCCGATGCGCTCTATACGCGTCAAGTCTCGGCTTTCCGAGAGCTTCTTCAACTCCGCCGCCATGGCCGCCGGAGGAGGAGGATGGCCGACGGGTGGAGGAAAGGAGGCGTAGGGTTTAACGAAGAGCCGGAGGTCTAGGGAACGTGCCGAACGGGACGAGAGCTTTTCCTTTATATCCCGTCCAATTAGAAGGTCATTGTGCAAGTACACTTCATGAATATTAACGGTGACTTGGACGGCCAAGATCCGTTGTGTTTTAAGATATGTGCATGGGCTCTGTTATGGGCTAGAGAAGATGGGCTCCAAGCTTTCAATAAAACTACCAAGCAATTTGGGCTTGGATTTGTGGACTGGAGGTTGGTGTAGAAATTGGGAGGAGTCATGGCCGACCAAACCAAATTAAAGATAGTTTTAATTAATTTATGTAGGCTTAGTTTGGGACATCATTCTTAGTGTTTTATAAAATAATTTTTTAGAACAAAAATTTTGAGTTCATAAATTTTTAGTACGAAAAAATGACATTAAAAAGCAGTCATAAACTGTCTCAATCTAAGACTTCATTTGGGATTACTTTTTGCTACTTCTTAAAAGGATATCTCTCTCTCTGTCTCTCTCCCCCTTGCTCGCTCTCTCTCTCTCTCTCTCTCTCTCTCTCTCTCAGTACAAAAGTTAAATTTTTTATACTAAAAAGCTGTTTTAAAAAACAGCAAAAAAGTCGTCCCAAACGAAGCCCAAATCTTACTTTTATTTTTAACTTTCCTGAAACACTTGTGTTTGCTGCAAACTAAGCCTTCATTTGGGACAGCTTTCTAACTACTTAAAATAGGTTTCTAGTACAAAAAATTTAATTTTTCTACTAAAAAACTTCTTTAAGAAGTAATAAGAATTAAAGTCGTCCCAAACGAAGCTTAACATTGATAATTTTTCTTGGGGAACATAAAAAGAGGAACTTATATATTTAAAATGGAAATCAGTAAAGCCTGCTTAAGATGATTTGTTCGAATTTGAATGAACTTTACTCAACTCAAATTAGTCTTATACATGCATATCTCTCTCTCTCTCTCTCTCTCTCTCTCTCTCTCTCTCTCTCTCTCTCTCTCTCTCTCTCTCTCTCTCCCCTAGAGAGAGAGAGACATGCACCTACATGGATAATCTACTTATATAGATTACTATTTTCTTATTATCTTATTATGTCAAACATCCCCAAATACATTTTTGAACCTAAATACCTTTAATTTCATTGTACATTATAGATGAATAAATGGGTGAAGCATTTTGGTTCTTTATGTATTTTGGGGAGGCCGGGGAAGCAATAAGTAACAATATGGAGTACACAAATAACCCCTATCCTCGAAGGATTAGTTCTTAAAAGTTCTTCCAATTTAGTACAATTGATATAAATAACTATTATTGAGTCTTTCCTCAATGAATATAAAAGACGGGCAAATGTTTGAAAGTAAATATAATTTGAGAAAAAAAGATACATCTATATGCAAATGGACTCTAAGAGTATCCATCTAAAGAAAAATAAAATACCTTTAAAGCAAGAAAAATATATAGTGCAATGCAGATGCAACCGATTAAGAGAAAAAGGACATAATTGCATCACTTATAAGATCAATGGTCTATTTAGGGCGGCTGCAGCTTTTAATAAATATGATTGTAAAATTATTGTGGGAAAAATAACTTTATAGAAATTTACTACAAATATTATAAATATGTTCATTTTTTTTATAAGTTTGATAGTTATAGCTCCCACATTAGTATATCATAAAACTTTTTATAAAACATTAAAAAAAGTAATAGGCAAATAGAAGTGTGACTATAATTGAAAAGCAAAGTATCCAGAAAGTGTTCCAAATAGGTCGTAAATGCTCACCACAATCTTATAATGAATAACATTTTATCTATGTAGTTATGGGAAAATTATTAGGTCCGGTTACCGGACCTAAAAATACATCCGGACATCCAATTAAAACTTGTCACGTGCACTGTGTTTTGACTGCATTTTGATTGTGATTTAGCTGCACTTTAGGTGCGCTTTACCTACACTTTTGATTGCATTTTTTTACTGCGCTTTAGGTGCGTTTTGACTGCGCTTTAGGTGCGTTTTGACTGTGCTTTTGACGCGCTTGATTTAAAATAATATTTTATTTGTGTCCGAACGTATCTCTACTTCCGGTGACCGGGCCTAATAATTTGCCGTAGTTATGACAGTCTTTTCAAAATATATATATGTAGTTGTTATTATTTTGTTATGTAGTCATTTTGATTTTTTTATTTTTTTACTTTGAGGTCTATATTCACTTTTAATTATTACTATATTGTTCAATCATGCATGTAGTTCTTCTAAAAGTATGTATGTCCATTAGCAACAACTATATATGTTAAATTATAACTATTTGCCAAGAAATGAAGTTGTTATTACAATGTTTATAAATGTTTATTCTTCAAAATTAGTTATTAATTAGAAGTATTATTGTTCACAAATAGTTTTTTATTTAAAATGGTTATTGGATATAACATTATAATTTTAAAATCTTATATACCATCACGATTGGTTATTCAATATAACATTAAAACTTTAACATCATAACTTATAGTTCATAAATAAAGTTCTTATTATAATGTTTAGAAATGGATATTTGTTTATGAATAGCTATTAAATATATCAATATAATTGTAAATATATTTGAACCATCTTTGAATGCCATGATCTGCTTATATATATGACTACAGGAGATTATGGAACAAGATTAAAATCTTATTAAATAATTATTATTTTTATTAAAGTTATGAACAACTTTGTTGAAGAATAAGGATCAAATCATCAAATCATGTCCAATCAAGTTTCTAATATGATTCAAATTTGCATGCATAGATAGTTGTAGAATGACAACTGCACATTGACTCAAAATGTATAGTTCCAAATATAATTAGAATAAATAATTATATAGTAAATGATAAAAACACTCCACACAATTAGAAAATGACTCAAGAATAAATTTATAAGTAATAATGAGTACATTTATAATTATAGAATTGATATGACTATAAAAAAAATCATATGATTTGCACAAATTTTGAGGTAATATTTTGAATTAGAAATTTTTAAAATTAAAATCATGATCATTTGAACTTCAAGTTTGAAATGCTTATAGTTAAATCAAGCAGCTCGATGAGACAAATCCAACGAGCGCAAGATCAGTCAATTCCGAGATCATTAAGGTACTTTAATGATGTAAAAAAAAACTTCATGGTCAAGAAAATTGATATAGACAGTATGGAGTGTTTGGATTCTAGTTCAAATGACCAAAATGTCTATCCCAAAAAGCCTATAAATAGAGCTATATTCTTCACATGTGGGGTAGGAAGAAAGGAGAGAATTAGACAACTGATCTTTTGTATTTTTCAGCTATCACTGTCAAAGACCACAACCAACTATTGTTAGCGATAGCCACCACCATCACCAACAACCATCACCATCGTATTGCAATGCTGAGATGGAGAGCGCAACTATGCCATGCTTTTTGTTCTACAGTAATTTGGGATTCAGCATGCAGTGCAACGACATTGTAGTTTTTGGCGCCATGGCTCTAGGCACTAAATGATCTAAATGATATGTATATATCCCTCGCCACCTAACCTTCTCCTTTATGTCACTGCCTTATCAGGGAGGAAAAGAAAGGAGAAGAAGAGGAGAGGGGAGATAGGATAGAAGAGGGGAGAGAAGAGAGAATGTCTTTCTGGGCTTTTTCATCCTTCATTTATGTTACAAAATTTATTTTGATCATGGTAAGTGACATCTACTCTATATTTGTTTTCAATGATTTTTTACTTTAGTAAATTTCTCTCTCCTAAAATTAATAAAAATATAATATCTCTTATTTTAGTGAACTTCTATCGTGTAACTTATAATATATGTAGATATTATTATTATGAGCATTTTGACTAGCTTATGTTGAATTTTTTATATGATATTTTAATTAAAAATGAGTAGGAAAATATTTAGTGTAAAATGATCAGGTATTAGTATACTAAATTTGTATATGAGATACATGACATACATATGATTTTTATTCATTTGGCATGATATACATTTTGACATAATACATGCATAATGATGAACACACTAGATAGATCTACATTTTATGATAATTATATACGATGTGTACATGAGGCCTATTATTATGATATATATAATATGAAATGCATATAAGAACAAACAGAATGAATGAATTGATGTGATATATAAGACGGATGTACGTGATTGATGCTGATATGGTTGAGAAGACTAATGAGTAATATATGATTGATGAGTGAAAACCAATAATAAATGGCAGATAAAATTGATGATAAATGATAGATATGATTGATGACAGATAAGACCGATAATATATAGATAAGATCGATGATAGATAAGACTGAAAACATATAGCAGATAAGACTGGTGATATATAAGATTGATAGTTGATGAGACTAATTTTTATTGGGTTAGCCCTATGATAGATAGATGCATGATACAAAATATACGATGAGATTGATTGACTTATAAGAATGATTAATTGATTGAAAGATATAGGAAACATAATTGATATGTAGTCAAATTGATATGGTATCGATATGAATACATGATATATGATGCATAGATTGATCCACTTTATGTAGAATGACAAGAATGTGTATAATAACAAATGATTGTTTATCTGAATATGATTTCATAGATTTATATTATTTTTATTTTGTGCTTTGATTTAAATTGTAGATTTTAGTGACTTGATGGACTTTCTTCTGATTAATTGATTTTTATAAGTAGGGTAAAAAACCAATACAATATGTCGTTTGAATCATGTTTAAATTGAAATTGTGGGTTCGAACCAAATTTGAATGAGATCATAACAAGTTTGAATGATTTAAACTTATTTTCAAACCATTTATTGTTTGCATAAACTTTTCCAAAATAGCTCAAAGTTTCTTTTAAAATCTAGGGTTTCTAGTCCATTGTTTGTTACTCTTGTTCAAACTCCCATATCCTTCTTCTTTTTTATAAGGAGCAATGTGAGAGGCTATCGACGTTGGAAGGGAAAGCTTGAGAGGATTTGTTGAAGGCTTTGAGCTACATGAACTTTCAATGGGAGGTTCAGGCTGATCAATTGTGCAAAGATATAGTAGAAGAAGATGCTTGGAAGAGTGAGGGGTTTGAACCGTAATTTATTTGAACATTGAAATGAATATGAAAGATCATACCTCATAATAAGGATTGTTTGGTCCAAAAATCACTTTGGGGAATTGATATATCATCAAAAAATTATCTTGATCAAGCACGAATCTCGAGGCAAAATCTGGTTGGAAGCTTTAAAAATTAAATTTGGGACTATATGAACTCTGCTTTTAGAAAACTTATAGTCGAACTGAGCGTCTCAAAAATACAAACCCAACGACACCAAATTCAACTCAATCCGAGCACAAATGGGTCTGAACCGAATACCCGAAGCGTTGTTGGAAGGTTCAAACCGCAATTTGGATTATCAAACAGTTTTCAAACATGACATGCTTATAGTCGAATAGAGCGGCTCGACAAGACGAATCTAACAAGCCCAAGATCACTGAATTCTGATATCATTAAGACCTTCAAATGTCTGACGAACAATCCACAATCAAGGGATTCAATATTGGTCATCCATCCAAACCACTTCATATTTGCCCTTGATCCTCCTCCTATTTATGGGTCATGCCATTCTCAGAAAACTAGAAATAGCCCCTTATTTCTCTTAAGAGGGGACCGAAGCAAGAAGAGAAGAGAGAAGAAGAAAAGAAGAGAATGAGGGAAAAAGTTTCTCCTCTACCACCGTCGGAGTTCCGCCCGACTTTCAAGTAAAGTTAGAGTTCCACCCAACTTTAAAGTGACGCCGGAGTTCCATCCGACTTTCAAGTGATGCCAGAATTTTGCCTGACTTTCATGTGGAGTCGGAGTTCCGCCCAACTTCTAAGTGACTCTAGCATTCAGCTCGAATAAACAACATCATCGAATCTTAAGTTTCTTGTTTGTATCTGGATTTCAATCATTGTAATTTGATCATCCTAAATTTTAAGAACGAGTCAACCTCTCGTACCTCAAGTAAATACTAGTAGAATTTTCTCAATTGGGCGTGACCCTGTGGTTTTTCCCTTTTCATGGTTTCCACGTAAAAATCTTTGTGTTTTATATCTTTTATATTTGTGCGTTGGATATCCGTATAACACTGATACGAAAAATTCAAACCCTATCACCGCATATATTCTAGCCCACAACAGGAATATTTGGCAAAATAAAAATATGATGGATATTGAGTAAATTTTCTCCTTAAAAATTCATTAAAAAATATTTATTTATTTGTCCACTGATACTCAATAAAAATAAAATATGTAGCTTCCAACAAATGCATGGGACAACATGACATTATCATGTATAATTAATAATAATAACAAATAAATAAATTATACACCCATTAAATATGTTGTTGTTCATTAGGTATAATAGTGATAATGAAAATGGGAGTATTCCGACTAATAAGATATTGTTATTTTAAAAGTACAAGTGAAATATATGTTTAATAATTAATTTATTTTGAATATTTTTTATAATATGTTTGATACATGAATTTATCCTAATTTGTTAATAATAAACATATCAAATATCTTTGAAATTATTCTGTGAGGATACCGACGTCGTCCAGAGGCGAATTAGAACGCGCCACGTCACCCGTTTAATGTATACCATGGATGTGTATTGCTGTGTACCGTGGTTGTGTATTGCTCTGTATCTTGGTTGTGTATTGTTGTGAACCGGATGACGTGATTCATTCTGATTCTCCTCTGAATAATCTGTTGTCCACACATAATAATTTCTCTAGAGATATTCATGTAATTTTATATATATATATATCACATATCCCCATTAATATATAAAAAATAATAATTATTTGCTACCTCCATTTTAAAATGAAGCGAATAAAATTTTTTATGAAATATTTTTCCTATATTTCTAAATTTTTTTTAAAAAATAAATAAATAACACCTTTAAATTATTTTGTAAATCCATTTTTTTTCTCTCTCCTCTATATTTTCATACTATATAATATATCTATTATAATACAAAATTTTATAATTTAATATAAAGTATAAGAGCAGATCCCACCCTTCCCCACCCGCCTCCTCTTCTCACAACATGCGCCCACGTCCGCACTCACATCCTTAAAAAAGAAAAATGAACCGCGCAAAACCCTCTCCTAATTTGCTACAAACCCACAACAGAAAGGAAAACGAAAATACCCGCCACAACTTGCGAAGCGCCTCTTTCTCTTTCATGTATTCATTAGGAAGGAGAAAGTCTGTTTTTCTCCTCCCCCCGTCTGCTCAGGTGGTCTTCTTCTCCCCCTTCACAACCTAAATTCGCCATTAAGCTCTCTTCTTCCATTCTATTTCACTCATAGGAGTGGTGGGTTTCTTCTGCTGCAACCGAAAGGATCTATTCTGTCTTTCTTCTTATTTTTAAGCAGTGGGTTCGGATTCCCATCGGCTAATTATTTCAGAAACCCCGGGTTGTCATTCTCCGCTCTCCTCATCCGCTTGCTCCGGTGAAGGGAATGAGTCCGCACCAATCAAGATTGGACGGGCAAAATTCTTCTCGCTAGGCTGTGGAATGATTCGATTCCCGAAGAGAGGACAGAATTTGGAGAAATCTTTGGAAGAAGGGATGCTTGAGGTTCCAGGAAGGCAAGCTCGAAGCTTGATCTTCGAGAATGGAGGAGATCATGCGGATGAGAAGCTGATTTTTAGGAGCCAGGGAACAGGAATGGGACAGCCAATAGAAGATCAGCAGATTGGCTGGGTGCTCAATCGATCGGAGATCAAAGTCCCCAAGTCTAGGTTTGGGAAGGAGGGTGCCTGCCCTAGGTGTGGATCCGGCCATTGTGGGCAGCACTCAGGTAAACTTCCAATGCCCCTATTCTGAGTTTGGGGATTGGTTGATGGGTTTTTAGCTTCTGATTTAGGGTTGTATATAGATGGTAATTCCCCTGTTGATCTCTCTTGAAAATGTGCGTTTTGATTCCAATCACAATGTAATGGGAATGGGTTTTCGTATTCGGTATGAAATTGCTTTGTATGATTGTTGATTTGCTTGTTGTTGTTGAATATGTAGCAGAAAACTTTGTTAATTGTTATTTTTGGATTTCATCAGGCATATAGAATTGATAAATTTATAGGGCATATATAAGCTTGCATTTGAGGATTTCCTTGTGGATGTTTTATTTTTATTCAGATATTGAGCAGATGAAGGAGAAGTTCGCAAAGCTGCTTCTTGGTGAAGACATGTCAGGAGGCGGAAAAGGTGTTTCATCAGCTCTGGCTTTGTCCAATGCCATCACCAACCTTGCTGGTAAAATCTTATTTTGTATGTCAGACAATTATGAATTAGTTTTATGTAAAATCTCTCTATCGTTTTCTTATTGCAATCAATCAAAAGGTGGAATCCAATGTGGTGAAGACTGTTTTAGAATTAATAAAATAGAAACAAAATTTTGTGGCATTGAAGTAATGTTACCAAATCAACATGATACTCTTTATAGAAGATTTTGGTTTTTCACATATTGAATGAGAAAAAGGATATATGCTGAACACGATGAAGATTCCATGGCTATAATAATAATAATAATAAAACCCACCCGTTGCTTAGCTTGTTTGATGGGCAAGTAGGATTGGGAACCCCCAACCCGTGCTCGATTCCCCTCTAGCGGCAGCGCCTCTTAAGTGGGGCCATAGTGCGGGCCAGGAGGTTTCTGGGCTGGGTGCCTCTTCTTGGTCAACCGAGGATTAGTCACGCCGCCAAGCACCCGAAAGGGACTGCGGGTGGATGTACCGTTCCAAAATAATAATAATAACAATAATAAAAGCGTCAGAAGCTTCTAATGCATTTTTGAATCAGAAGTATAGAAGTCATACGATCAAAATAGAACATTTATCAGAAATATAAGACATTTATATAATAACTATAAGGCAATTTTTATGAGCTACAAAATGATGAAACTCGTTTTTGTCCTAACATAAAATTGTGATGTGATGTCTTATACTTCTGTTCAAATGTCTCGTTTATTTTGCACTCCTCAGTCTTCACCACAAAATGGCATCAGGAGCTCTTGACATGATATTTTTCCCTATGATTGACTACTTTGATAGTCCTAACATTTTGTTGTGCACGCGCATTCATTTTCAGCTTCTGTATTTGGTGAACAACATAAATTAGAACCTATGGCGCCTGAGACAAAGATTAAGTGGAGGAAAGAAATTGATTGGCTCCTTTCTGTCACTGATCACATTGTAGAATTTGTTCCTTCTCAGCAAATAGGAAAGGATGGCACCAACATGGAGGTCATAGCAGTTCTATTTTCCCGCAGTTTCTTTCTTTTTTTCATCTAATTTTATCCATGCTAAATGCATCTACATTTCGAAAGCTCGTTTATCTATGTTTATTCTTCGATGCAGATTATGAAAACTCAGCAGCGCAAAGATCTTCTTATGAACATTCCTGCATTGCGCAAGCTGGATGCTATGCTTATTGTAATATTCAAACCTCATTTTCATATGGGTGATTTGATGACAGCTCTTGATCAAAATAATGGCTAACATTTTTATAGGATTACAGCTACTGAAATTTCATATGGTGATCAAGTTTTGACTATATCTCAACTCTTAACAATATATATAACAGGGTTATCTCGATAACTTCAAAGACCACATTGAATTCTGGTATGTTGATGGAGATGCTGATGAATTGCAGAAACGAAATGTGCAGAGAACAGATGAAAAGTGGTGGCTTCCCACTGTGAAGGTCCCTCCAAATGGGCTATCCGAGGTTTCCAGAAAATGGCTACAATTCCAGAAAGAATCAGTTAATCAAGTTCTCAAGGCAGCCATGGCAATCAATGCTCAGGTTCTTATGGAAATGGAGATCCCTGAAACTTATATTGATTCCCTTCCAAAGGTACCTGAACCTCATAAGCTTGTATTCATTTTGAAATCAAATTAAAGTTTCATCACTAAGGCCTTCTCCAACCGAGCTCCAAACGCATGAATGGCGTCACTCGGGATCTCCAGCCGAACGACAAAACTTCTTCCGGTATTTGTTTGCGGGTGAACAATGCGACGCCAATATTGGTGTAGCACTGTTCACCTTCGCTATTTTTCTGTCTCTACCGGTTTTGTCAAAGGAACTCGCGAAGGAGAAAGTCGGTTGCCTGGGCGCAAAATGGAGTTCATTGAAGATGAATCACGTCATTTTTAATTTCACTGCATTTTGGAGATGCCCTAAAGCCATCTCTTTTTTTTATCATAGAATGGAAGGGCATGCCTCGGAGATACGATATACCGCAGCATAACTGTTGACCACTTCGATCCAGAGTACTTCCTCGCATCACTTGATTTGTCGACCGAACACAATGTCCTTGACCTCAAGAACCGCATTGAGTCCTCAGTCGTCATTTGGAAGCGGAAGATGCATAATAAGGACCTTAAGTCCTGGGGCTCAGCTGTCAGCTTGGAGAAGAGGGAACAATTTGAAGAAAGAGCTGAAACCATCCTTCAACTCCTCAAACACAGATTCCCTGGTACCCCTCAGTCAGGCCTTGACATAAGCAAAATTCAACACAACAAGGTAATGAAGTTTCCTGAAAAACTCACCAGAGGATATAACATGTTAACTTGTTTCTTGTGTACTTAACATTATTTCATTCGTAAGGATGTGGGACAATCTGTTCTTGAGAGTTACTCAAGGATCCTTGAAACATTGGCCTATACTGTAATGTCAAAGATTGAGGAAGTTCTCTATGCCGACGAACTTGCACAGGATCCCAGTAAGAAGAGCTCAAACAGGAAGCTTTCTTTGTCAGATTCAGATCTATTGTCACTGAAGAATTTTGATCCAAAGGAAGAGATGGAGAAGCTGGCCTCCATGGAGTCGCAGACCTCATTCACGCTGTCGGACTATATGGGTTGGGCTGTAGACCTGAACTCAGAGGGCGAGAAGAAGGAACAAGGTAGTCCCGAGGAAATCTTAGGCTCAGAAGAATCGAAGTTGAGGAAGCCTCCTGTCTGTGCGACTCATAAGAAATTTTCTTATATAGAGAAGCTTGAGAACTTCGGAGGCTTGAGAAGTCCTAGAGCGCGCCATTAAAGGCAACTACAGAGTAAAAAGGAGGAAGAAGAGCAGGACAAATTGAGAGGAGAGGTTTGGTGGAAGTGATTAAACGAAACTCTAAACTCCAATGTATATGGCTCAGAGGCAAACAAGAGCCTTTTGGCTTAGATTTGAGGGTGAAATGCTTCTCTTATCTTTCTTTTTTCTCTCCTATTAGATAAAAGTCTGATTTTGATGTGTTTTGAGCGATTCTTTTTATTGAATACCCTTTCATATTCTTGATGATCGTCTGATGATCATGTGTGATCTTCATTTCTAGTTCTAAATTTGTTTTTGTATTGAGCTCAAAAAGGCACCTTGCATTCCCTTGTTTGTTTTAAGTTCCTTGCCATTTCAAAACCCTTTCTTGCTGTGGTCATGAAATTATTTCTGTATGCAAATAAGGTATGGAATTGCTTGTACTTACTCTCTGGTTTCTCAACTAAGCAAGAAACTATTTGGTGAGCCTTGGCTCAAGAGTTTCATATGAGCTAGGTTGTATTTTTTAATCTTCATTATTTTGTGTTTTTATTTGTTTGTAATATTTGTATAGAATTCTAGATAATTATACGGACTTGTTCCATGTTATAAGGTAGACCTCTAACTCTCTTCTTTGAAATCTTTTTTGGGGCCTCATCACAGTTGTAGAATGTGTAGAAGTAGGGGTTAGGGGTGTCAATTCGGGTCAACCCGTCGGATTCGGGTCGAACCCGACCCGACCCTTTTTTGCAAACGGGTCGGACATTCCAACCCGGACCCGAGCGGGTTACGGGTTGACCCGACACAAACGGGTTAGACATTCCAACCCGGACCCGACCCGAGCGGGTTACGGGTTGACCCGACACGACCCGTTGACCCGAATAATCCTCATTTTTACACGGGTTGCCGGGTTAACCCGACCCGACAACCCGATAATTTGTTTTATATATATATATTCTTTTTGCTTTTAAAGGAAAAAATGCATAGAGCAATAAGCCAATAATAAATAACATAAGATTACATATTTACATCATTTTTTGAATACAAGATTATCGGGTTACACTTATAATAAAATAAAAGATTACAAGTTAATAATTGACAAATAACAAGTTACAACTTACAATACAAGATTTTTTTTTTTTAATACAAGATTATAATTTACAAGTTACAATAAAATTAACTACAACTAGAACAGTAGAACAACCGGAGTAGTGAGTGGCGAGCTCATTTTTGTCTTTCACCCTTTAATGAACCTGCAACTCTGCAAGCCTGCAAAACAAAAGAATAAACAAATATTGGCTTATTAGGGCCGTAGGCTCAGGATGAACCTAGCAAAGAAACATCATATGCAACTAGAACAGGAAAAATGCCATCCAAAGTTACAAATTGGTAATTCTCTATTCAATTAAATAATATCTGCTCAAACCAAACCAATTTATAACTCGGTTGCATTTAACTGTGTCGCAACTAATGCATAACTTCACCAAGTTCTTCATCATCGCCTTATAATTTATAAACATCAGCATTCAGCCATTCAAACTGTAGGCCTAAGCATCTGCAAGCTGCAGCTGCAGCAGGTCAGAGCCTATCAATTCGGGTTAAGCAGCTGCAATATGCTCAAACGGTCAAACCAAAACAGATTCGCAGCTAAAATCTTGAGATTCGCAGCTAAAACAATAGGCCTAAGCAGCTGCAATAATACAATATGCTCAAACCAAAACAGATTCGCAGCAATCCAATTATCCAATACCCAAAACATTCAAAGTTCAAACAGCTCATAGCCTCAGATAATCAGATTCCAATACCCAAATTCCAAAACAAAGATTAGTTCAGCTCAGCTCAGAGCAACAAAATCCAATACCAGTTCAGACTAACCATGACAGAAAATTAACATGAAAATTAACATGAAGCAGTAATACCAAATCCATCAGTTCAGCTCAGAGCAATAAAATCCACCAGTTCAGCTCAGAGCAACAAAACAAAGATTAACATGAAGCAGTAATACCAAATAGCAGTTCAGCACTTCAGCTTAGAGCAACAAAACAGGATTAACTGCAGCAGGATTAACATAAATAACAGTCACCAGCAGTTATAACTCGAAATTAAAACCCATTAACATTACTGCAGCAGGATTAACAGCAGGATTAACAGCCACCAGTTCAGACTTTAAGATATTTATATATTTCTCATTTCTCATAAATAATGCAACTGTCACAGGAGCCACCGTCTAATATAATATCATTGAAAGTACTCATTTTTCATTTCATTTCCTTTTCCTTTCTCATAACTTTTTTTATTAACGTACACGAGTGCATTGCATCTCCAACCAATACCAAAAGGTTGTGTACTCCATCAGTCAACATGCACATAAAATCATATCTATCATTTCATTTTTATAACATTCATGAACTTTATATAATATTATGGAATATAGCATATAAATTTTCATTTAACTTAGCATGATCAATCATTGGGTATGAAAAACATAAATTATGATCTAATTAGCAATAAAAATTTCATAAGCATGTATTATCTTTCAAAATATTTAATCAGAGAGAAAATAAAGTTATCATTGTAAATAAGGAAAAATGAATACTCACATTGAAATTAGGAAATGACACGCTTCACTTTTTCTCCTTATTCAAATGATGGTAGATTTAAAGTCTATAAAAGACCACTTTATTAAATTTAATTAATTATTTGCTCTTAATTTTTCCTAACTTAATATTTCAAAACTTCTCCTCTTTTTAAATTTATTTTAATTCTTAAAAATAATCATAGAATATTTCACTAATTTAGCTTTTATGGGTAATAAATAGTTTTCCTCTCCTTCCATTAAAATGAATATCTATTATCATTTCTATGTGTGGCATTCATATCATATTGCCACATCAAGCTAAGTAATGTATGACATGTGTCCATCTTGACAACATTGCATATGACATCTTTTTAATAAATTTTACCAATATATACTTATATTTGGCATGCCTTGATAATTTGTGCTTTCGACCACTTTTTTTCCATCCGATCTTATATGGTCGTGGGCGGTCTTCAATTGCTAGATTTATGATTTGAGCCAATTCATTAGATGTGAAGTTCTCATAACTTTCACTATTGATAATGATGTTAAAGGCTTTCTTTATAATAGTGAAGTGGGTATGGAAGATGGAATAATGTTCAATGATGCACACATTGGTTTACCATCATCTCTTTTAACAAATTTAATGACCTTGGCATTGTCTTTAACCTTTTCGTCCTATTCTATATCTTATTAATTGTCTTCTCTCTCCACATGATGAGCTTTGTGATGTGGACACTTATTTAACTTTCACCCTATATGATTGTAGTGATAAAAGAGAGGTGTGATAGGGCAAGAATATGGATTTGTTCTTTTTTTTTTTAGTGTTAGTATATTTTCTACACTTATTGAAGTGTTTGGTTTGGATGCAATTATAGCAACTCCTATGATAACCAATTTATTATTATTTGGCTTTATAAAAGCTAACATTTCTCATTGAAAATGTCAAGTTGAGGTTGGAGATTAGCGAAGTATTTAATAGTCTTTGGATTAATTTTTTTAGCCTTATATGCAAGATTGATAGCTTTCGATAAAACCTAAATAGACTACAAAATGAGTTTTCCATTAAGAGGGTCTTTAAATCCATTGAGAGGATGTGATACTTAATGTTGTACATTTTTATACATGAGTGTTGAGATGATAAAATTCTTGAGTATTTTTATTAATAGAATGAACACATTGCTTGTTGTTGGCACTAAAAATGTAAATTTCTAACAATGCCACTTGATGCTTGGGCCTGAATTATTCGAACTATGTCCCATGTTGGATATATTTAACCATACTCAATCTTGATTACTCTAACTTGATTAGGTCAGTACCACCTTTGCTCGATCCTCTAGCTCCCTCTAGAGATGATTTAAGCTTTTCCTCCTCATTCTATAAAATTCAAGTTCTTGATTCATTCTTTCATTGAATCCAAGCCAAGCATAAATAGAAACTATACTCTAGCCTGCAACTTGAACTAGCTAGGACCACATCCTAAGATGACAATATGACCCCATTGAACTTAGTGCAACCCAAAGAAAAGACCCTAGATCATTTGTTTCTCAATCAAACCCTTCACCTTGATTGGGTTTGACTAGAGTTAGCCCTAGATTAGGCCTCAATATGGCTTAACAATAATTTGTCTAAGTAGTCTCAGTTGGTGGTTTAAGCATATATTCAATCTTCTTTTGTAGTGGTTCAATCACATATGTGCTCATTATAATTGACCAAGTTAAATAAAAGTCAACTTAGCTCCTAATCGCTATACTCAATTAATGATTTTGAACTAATTGATTCAATTGATTATCATAACCTTTTTCATAGGATTTTAATCATCAAATCATAGATCATGTTAGGATCCCTTGAACCCTACTTTAGCCCAATTCGTTCTGGTTTGGTCAAGCAGACCCAAACCATATGATTGATAAAATTGATGTTGGCCAACCCTTTCAATAGGTTCCAATTAGTTAAAAATAATCTAATTTAGCCAAATATCCATTTGGATTATATTTAGACCCTTTGATCCAAGTTAATCCTAATTGACCTATTTGACCAAAACTTTCAAGTTGGACAAATTGATTGAATCTAAGGCCTCAAATCATATTCAATAAACAAACCACGAATAACAATCCTCAATTGGCCCTTGATTTGGCCAAGTGGCTCACTTAGCTTAGGCGTTGACCCAATTGAACTCCCTTAAGCTATTTTGACCAAATTGATTAAATGAGCCAAGCCAACCCTTGCAAATCATTACAAAAGATTAGCTATAGTTGACCTAGCTCAATTGAGACCAATTTGGCTAATTGTATCGATTGACCTAAATTGTCCCTGTCCCAATTAAACCTTTTTGATGAAATTGATTAAATTGATGTTAATTAAGCCTTCTATTTAACCTATGTGGGCCACCATACTTGGAACTAATCTAATTGCCTCTTGCTTAGGCCAATTGAATCCAATTATCTCCAACTATAAAGTTTTGGGTTAGAGGCTAATACATAAGGCTGTGTACATAAGTTTATGAATAAATTCACTCAAAATTTCAAGTATATTGCTTTGAGATTAGTGCACTATAAAACAAGAATAATTTTAAAAATAACCTAAATGATTTTCAAACTATCAAGATGTGAAAAACGATCGATAAAATTCAACAAAAGATTTCCCAAATCATGAATTCTAGGAGGAAAATGATGACTTTTGGTCAATACTATATCATTTAGAATTTTTATTAGGGTCTGTTTGGTTAGAAGTAAATCAAATACATAGTAAAATTTTTGTGTATTTGAAATTTACTCTCTA